AGTGAATGTGTGTGTGTGTGTGTGTGTGTGAGTGAGTGTAAGAGTATGTGTGTGTGTGGATGACAGTGGTGGCTGATCTCTCTCCAGGGGATTGTGGGTAATTTGCTGCAGGGTCGCAGTGATGATGTCATCAGACTCTGTCGTCATGGTAACGGATCACTGGGCCAGTCTGTCCAATCAGCAGGTATTTTTAGACATAATAATAAATGAGACGGACACTAATGAGCTCATTAATAGAGGCAGTGTGATGTTAGTAGTATTGAGAAACTATTATGTATACACAATACAATACAGAATACAAAATAATCATATTTGTGAGATGATAACTGGGCACTCGCTGAATTAAACATGCAGCGTAATGAGGTCATGTGACCACACTGGAGTCTTTTATTATTGCACACTGGCTGCATGCAGAAACCTGATGAATGATGCATTCTCAAATAAACTATAGGAGCCACTGCAGTGATTCTCTGTGTGATTCTACTTTGCTGTTTATGTGCATTCACTCATTCTGACAGGAAGGGAAGGTCACATGACTATCAGCACTCTCAGCAGCTGTAGTGTTCGGTCATAAAGGGCAACTCAATCTGTCACTGCAGCACAGTGTTTCTTTTCAGTGTGATCAGATTTTTCATGCAACTGGATTAAAAATGCAAAATAATCATACTTTCTAGATGATATGTGAACAGCACTCACTGAATTAAACATGCATTGTCACGTGACAACATTGGAGTCTGAAACGTATTATTGCACATTGGCTGCATGCATAAAGTGTTGCATGATGCATTCACAAATAAACCTCAGTCTTCATCTGTATGAGCCACTGCAATGTTAAAGACCATTATTGAGGCCCAGATGGCTCTGAATGAACAGTCTATTAATGTTACTAGAAGAACGTTTGTTCATAACATTAGCCTGAGCGTTCCCTGTTGATGAAGCTGTGATGATGATAATAACCAAATAAACCCTGACTGGTTGACTGGAGCATTGTGAGCAAGAGAGCTCACGAGGTCAGACGATTATGAGAGATTTCAGCCGCATGCACATGCTGCACACTGATGCTGGAGATGCGTTTGATTTATTCATGTCACAGAGAAGGTTTGTTCATATTTCAGTGAGCAGAGGAGGCCGTGTGTGTGAGAGAGAGAGAGAGAGAGTGTGTGTGTGTGTGTGTTTCTGCTCTAAACCTGCAGTCTAACATCTCTCATGAAAGTCTCATTTATTCATGCTTTCCCTCTGATCAGCAGAAATCCTCTTGAAGAATGAACACAGCTTGTGAAATGATTTCAGCAGCGCTGCACTTGTCCTGCATCAGCTGATGGGGTTTTCATGTATGTTGCATTAGACTGCAGTTATTTACAGAAAGATGCAGAGTGGAGCGCAATATGATGTCTTTATTCGTTACTGTATTCAGACCTGTTTCAATTCACCCAAAATCATCATCCTGCCATCATTTACTCTCCCTCACGTCACTGCAAACATGTATGACTTTCTGTCTTCTGTGGAGCAACAAAAGAAGGTATTTTGACGAATGTTGTTAACCAAACAGTTTCAGTTCCCATTGACTTCCATTATATTTTTTGTCCATACTGTGGAACCCAAAACTGTTTGGTTACCAACATTCTTCAGCAGTGACTGTGTTTGGAAGAGCATACAGACACACTCGTACTCAGAGCAGAGTAACTGCGTCTCGAGTGTGTTCAGCAATAACTTGTTTTCCTCGTGTTCAGTGCTCAAACGCTCTCCCTCTATGACTGCAGTCTGTTTTCTCATGTTCTGTCCTTTAAGAGTAGTAGATCGGGGCAAGTTGTCACATGGCCTGTGTTTCAGTAACTCTGAGGTTTTGATTCAGTATTCCAATTACACAAATGCTTGTTTTTCTCCAGCAGTGATGGTCGATTATGGTTTCAAACTAAATCAGGAGTTTGTGAATTCTATTACTAAAATCTGCAACATATTTTAGTTTATGGGAAAATGATCTGTAGATGTTTCAAAGCAAATGTGTGTGGTCTTCTCGGGTGTTGCTATGTGGTTGTTGGGGTGTTCTGAGGTTGTTATGTTGTTGATGGGGTATCCTGGGGTTATTATGTGGTTGTTATGGTGTCCTAGGATTTGATATGTGTTTATTGTGGTGTTCTGGGGGTTGCTATATGGTTGTTAGGGTGTTCTGGGGTTGCTAAGTGGTTGTTGGGGTGTTCTGGGGCTTGCTGTGCAGTTGTTAGGGTGTTCTGGGTTTCTTGTGCGGTGGTTAGAGTGTCCAGGGGGTTTGCTAGGCAATTGATAGGGTGTTCTGGGGTTGCTATGGAGTTGTTAGGGTGTCCTGGGGTTGCTATGCAGTTGTTAGGGTGTTTTGGGGTTGCTATGTGGTTGATAAGCTGTCTTGGGGGTTGAGATGCAGTTGTTAGGGTGTTCTGGGTTTGCTATGCATTTTTTATGGTGTTTTGGGGGTTGCTATGCAGCTGTTAGGGTGTTCTTAGGGTCGCTATGCAGGTGTTAGGGTGTACTGGGGGTTGCTATGTGGATGCTAGGGTGTCTTGGGTGTTGCTCTGCAGTTGTTAGGGTGATCTGGGGTTGCTATGCGGTTGTTAGGGGGATCTGGGGTTGCTATGCAGTTGTTATGGTGTTTTGGGGTTGCTATGTGGTTGATAGGCTGTCTTGGGGGTTGAGATGCAGTTGTTAGGGTGTTCTGGGGTTGCTATGCATTTTTTATGGTGTTTTGGGGGTTGCTATGCAGCTGTTAGGGTGTTCTTAGGGTCGCTATGCAGGTGTTAGGGTGTACTGGGGGTTGCTATGTGGATGCTAGGGTGTCTTGGGTGTTGCTCTGCAGTTGTTAGGGTGATCTGGGGTTGCTATGCGGTTGTTATGGTGTTTTGGGGGTTGCTATGCAGTTGTTACAGTGTCCTGGGTGTTGCTATGTGGTAGTTAGACTTTTATGTGGTTGCTAGGGTGGTTGCCAGGACATTGTTGATCTGGTTTGCTGCTGTTGGGGGGTTGTTGGCAGGTTGTTGGTGTGGTCTGCTGCTGGTTGGTGATCTGAGCGGTGGGTGGGTAAGTGACTCTAATGAGGGCAGTGTGTTTGCATCGATTGACCCGCTGTGTGTTTGGTTTGTTTCAGTGAGCAGAGCATCTGTCAGGCCCGCGCCTCCGTCATGGTCTACGACGACACCAGCAAAAAATGGGTGCCGATCAAACCGGGTCAGCAGGGCTTCAGTCGAATCAACATCTACCACAACACGAGCAGCAACAGCTTCCGCGTGGTGGGAGTCAAACTGCAGGACCAGCAGGTGCGTCTGCTCGTCTGCACACAGTAACAATCAGATAGCACACTAACACACCAGATCATTCACCAGAAATCACCATCACTCCCTTCAAGACTGACTTCACATCGTCACATTTATTTTATAGCATTTTTTGTTTCAAAGCAGCTTCATAGTGATAAACAGCAAAATGACAGTGTTGATGATGCAAAATTCATCAGTTATGAAACTGATTCAGGGCTCGACATTAACGCTTGTCCGGAACAAGTGGATTTTGTGAAGGGGCAAGTGAAAGAGATTTTACTTGCCCTACCGGACAAGTAACCTGATTAAAATTTTAATAACAAACAATAACTAAGGCAGCACCGAAACTTTGGCAAGAATGATTCAGATTTTATTACTTTCAGTGTAAACGGTGACTAATAACGGATAATTTATTGACAGTATCAAGGTCGCAGCCTGACTCATGGAGAAATCTAAACTATAAGCGCAACAGCACACAAAGAAACAAACATGAACAAACATACTGCGGTAGAAAAAAAAGACAAATATTCTATATAATATATGCAACATCACACAAACAAGAGTGATGTTTTCCCGACTTTCAGCACGATTGCAAATGTGATACTGATTTTATACAACTTTAGTTCAATAAACAAGTAATATTAACTGACTTACATTTTAGACACGTTATTGATCGTTTTTGCTCCATTTCGCAATGATTCAGTGAGCCATTCATAAAGACAGTCACTTGCTTCATTTATTGAATGAATCAGCCGTTTGAACGAATCGGTTGAATCAATGACTCACTGATTAAGACAGGGACTTGCCAACACCTACTGGTGGTTTAATTTCATATTTAAAAGTATCATTGCATTTTTCCAACATTTCATATTTGTATGTCAAAAAAAGTAAAACATTAATCTAATAACATTATTTAAGCATTTGCAATTTTAAGAATTTATGGAACCTCTTATCTTCATTAAACAGTCTGAGTAATTACATCTAAACGGCACTTTCGATGCAGCTTCTGTGTGTCCTCTGCAGTGGAAAGATGGAGTGTGTCGATACTGATTTCATTTGAATGGTAGCAACCATATAGTGTCTTATTATTCTAACTTAATGTATTGATCAAATTTAAGAATTTGACGTAAATGGTGACGTACATTTAATCAGGTTAGGAAAATATTGCCCTTCATAAAGTTAAAAAGTGTAACAGCAATCAATTTAAGGCAAATATGCTGATTAAAGTAATACCTGATAGAGCACTGATGAGACCTTTGCTTCAGAATAAATTACATTTACGCCAAAAAAAAAAGAACCTGCTTGCACAGGGAGCGTGCTGGGGACTATTTTCAGGCGCTGCGTAATATCATTGCGTAACATCAACGGTCTAATCAGATTCAATGATAAACACTCATTATTAATATTAAAACACTCATACGTACATAATCACTTTTGATTGGAAATCACCACAAATATCAAACCATTAATTTTCACTAGTCAGAGTGATACTGCAGAGCCTGAGCACACGCTGACCTCTGACCTCTGACCTCAGGTGGTCATCAACTACTCCATAGTGAAGGGTCTGAAGTATAACCAGGCCACGCCCACCTTCCACCAGTGGCGTGACGCGCGGCAGGTGTACGGACTCAACTTCGCCAGTAAAGAGGAGGCCACCACCTTCTCCAACGCCATGCTGTTCGCCCTCAACCTGCTCAGCAGCCAGGACGGAGGTAAGACAGAAGAAGGGCAAGAAAATAATTACAATTAAAATGAAGTGACCTGACATGAGGCATGAAGAGAAAATCCTCACCGTACTCTTACATAAGCAGTGGCGTCTCACACACACACACACACTCTCTCTCTCATACTCACACACACTCACACTCACACACACACACACACACACACACACTCTCTCTCACAAGTGATGTTTTCCCGACTTTCAGCACGATTGCAAATGTGATACTGATTTTATACAACTTTAGTTCAATAAACAAGTAATATTAACTGACTTACATTTTAGACACGTTATTGATCGTTTTTGCTCCATTTCGCAATGATTCAGTGAGCCATTCATAAAGACAGTCACTTGCTTCATTTATTGAATGAATCAGCCGTTTGAACGAATCGGTTGAATCAATGACTCACTGATTAAGACAGGGACTTGCCAACACCTACTGGTGGTTTAATTTCATATTTAAAAGTATCATTGCATTTTTCCAACATTTCATATTTGTATGTCAAAAAAAGTAAAACATTAATCTAATAACATTATTTAAGCATTTGCAATTTTAAGAATTTATGGAACCTCTTATCTTCATTAAACAGTCTGAGTAATTACATCTAAACGGCACTTTCGATGCAGCTTCTGTGTGTCCTCTGCAGTGGAAAGATGGAGTGTGTCGATACTGATTTCATTTGAATGGTAGCAACCATATAGTGTCTTATTATTCTAACTTAATGTATTGATCAAATTTAAGAATTTGACGTAAATGGTGACGTACATTTAATCAGGTTAGGAAAATATTGCCCTTCATAAAGTTAAAAAGTGTAACAGCAATCAATTCAAGGCAAATATGCTGATTAAAGTAATACCTGATGGAGCACTGATGAGACCTTTGCTTCAGAATAAATTACATTTACGCCAAAAAAAAAAGAACCTGCTTGCACAGGGAGCGTGCTGGGGACTATTTTCAGGCGCTGCGTAATATCATTGCGTAACATCAACGGTCTAATCAGATTCAATGATAAACACTCATTATTAATATTAAAACACTCATACGTACATAATCACTTTTGATTGGAAATCACCACAAATATCAAACCATTAATTTTCACTAGTCAGAGTGATACTGCAGAGCCTGAGCACACGCTGACCTCTGACCTCTGACCTCAGGTGGTCATCAACTACTCCATAGTGAAGGGTCTGAAGTATAACCAGGCCACGCCCACCTTCCACCAGTGGCGTGACGCGCGGCAGGTGTACGGACTCAACTTCGCCAGTAAAGAGGAGGCCACCACCTTCTCCAACGCCATGCTGTTCGCCCTCAACCTGCTCAGCAGCCAGGACGGAGGTAAGACAGAAGAAGGGCAAGAAAATAATTACAATTAAAATGAAGTGACCTGACATGAGGCATGAAGAGAAAATCCTCACCGTACTCTTACATAAGCAGTGGCGTCTCACACACACACACACACTCTCTCTCTCATACTCACACACACTCACACTCACACACACACACACACACACACACACTCTCTCTCACA